ACCTGATGACCTGCACTCGACCTGACCTTGCATACCCTCTTAGCATTCTTGCACGCTATGGCGCTCCCGGCCGTCACCGGAAGGAGCACATGGATGCAGCTAAAAGGGTGTTGCGCTACTTGTGCAGTACGTCGGGCATGGGGCTAGTGCTTGGAGGGCGAGTCCCAGTTGTTCTCACTGGGCACTCAGACGCTTCTTGGGCAGACGACCAGGCTACTCAGCGGTCGTCTCAGGGTTACACCTTCAGTCTTGGCTCTGGTTCAGTTTATTGGCGTTCTACTCGCTCTTCTTCTGTTCTCAGCTCCTGTTGTGAGGCTGAGATCTACGCCACAGCCATGGCAGCCCAGGAGCTACGCTGGCTCACCTACTTGCTGACCGACCTTGGAGAGCGGCCTCGTTCTCCTCCTGTGTTGTACGTCGACAACAAGGCAGCCATTGCCTTGTGTCAGGAGCACAGACTGGAGCACAGAACGAAGCACATTGCTCTGCGCTACTTCCTTCCTCGAGAGCTGCAGCAGCGTGGTCAGCTTCGTCTGCGTTACGTGGCCTCTGAGGCCAACACTGCTGATGTGTTCACCAAGGCGCTTTAGCCTTGTGACCATCAGCGTTTTTGCACTCTTCTAGGCCTTGTGCCTACTGGACCTCACTTGCTTAGTTCTTGAGTCTGTTTGTACTGTGATCTCTATATATATATACCTGCATGTTTACTCTTACTACGTTGTGATCATTGTACCTCTTGTTCTATTATAAACCTGCATGTGAACTGGTCTTGTGATCACTTGCTTGTGCTCGGAATTTGTGTGGTATCCTTGAGATCCACCCTGAGCTTGTTTTGCCTTGCTTTGCCTTGACTGGTCTTGTGACCCCCTAGTTCTCCCCCAGTTCGCCTATGGGGGTGTGTCAAACATTTTTATGTTGTTGTGCTTGTTTAGGCTACAGTGGGTTAGCCTATAGGAGGTACACAATTCTAGGGTTAGGTACTTGTACTATTTTCACTGTTAGTTCAACCATTTTCCTGTTTGTTCATTTCAACAATAGAGCAGGTTCACAATTTCAAGCAAAGCTAGAGGCTATCACAGAGGGCAAGTGAGGAGGAGGAGAGACTGTGGGGGCGAGAAGATGGGAGGCGATTGCAGAAGCTGCAGACACACAGGATCTGCTGGCTCAGTGGCTACCGAAGCAAGGGCCCGGACTACAGGAGTAACTGGCTCCGCGGAGATTCTAGCCTCTTGACTGGAGCAACTGACCCACAAGCGACTGGCGACTACCGGAGATTGTAGCCTCCGGACCACTGGCGCTGCTGACGACACGATAGTTGCCTCCGGTCAACCTCCCCCAGCTGCCCCACGCCCCTATCACACACCCCCTGCAGCACCCCTAGCTCCACTCCCACGACACCCCCCTAGCACCACTCCTTCGGCTCCCACACACCCACCCCCTTGAGCGACAGCTGCAGCTGTGGGAGACGGAAGAGGAGGAGGAGTAGTGGAACGGCGCACAGAAACTGCACCCCCAAACCCTAATTCAGGAGAACGGGCAGCAGCAGGGGTGGGGCGCCGTCAGAAGCACGGGGTGCAGCGGGCAGCTCAGGGGCAGAGAGGAACGGGCCGCCCACGGGCCTGGCACAGCCAGACAAACCGCGCGCAGGCGGCCCGAGCCGCGCGCGGGCTTGGCGCAGTCCGTACGGGCCGCGCGCGGGCCAAGCGCAGCCCGTACGGGTCGCACGCGGGCCGGACGCAGCCCTGTACGGGCCGCGCTTGGGGCTAGCGCAGCCCGCGCTGGCCGGGACGGGCAACCGGGGACGACGGGCTGGTCCCCGTCGCCCGTCAAAGCGCCCCCCGGGGGCGACGCGTGGACCGACGGGGCAGAAAGCCACCGCGCGCCTTGGGGCGCACGGCGGGCAGAGAACCGCCGCACGCCCCGGGGCGCACGGCGGGCAGAAAACCGCCACGCGCCTCGGGGCGCATGGCGGGCAGAAAACCGCCGCAAGCTCCGAGCGCGCGGCGGGAAGAAAAATCCGTCGCACACCACGGGACGTGCAACACACAGAGTAGCAGCGGAAGCAATTAGGTGGGTCCACAGGCCAGGAGTGTAAATGCTCTGAAACCATGTTACAATAGTAAGCACAGTGAGGAGCCATAGCTAGGGTTTAGCTAGCTAGGCAAGAGAGAAATGAACTAAGGAGGAGGTTTCACTAGCAGCAGTTAGGATACATATAGCAAACCCTAACAGGGTTGTACTCGCTATAGAGCACCCCACTACAGGCTAGATAATAACATTCTGACAGGACTCGGACGAATAAGGAGGGTACAGCAACGGATTGCCCAGTACTAATCCACGGGAAAATACAGGGAGCAGTAGTGAATATTTTTATCAACGGAGGAGCAAGCCACAGTTTAGTAAATACCGCAACCGCACGAAAACTGCAGCTGACACTTAGCCGTTGCTTACCGGAGATAGACGCACGCTTAGTCGACGGCATGCCACTGGCCATACGAGAAAAGGTAGAGAGAGTCAAAGTCCGCTGCGGGGGAAATTTCGGGTTTACACAGGAAATGCTCGCAACGACACTGGATGGGCACGATATTTTACTGGGACGTGATTGGATGCGACGGTATAACCCGCGAACTGACTGGACGACGGGTAGCTGCACCGTGCGAAATAGTGGTAACTGGGTCGAGCTACCTCGCTGGCAGTCGCCCGAGTCTTCAACGGTACACGTCAACACCATCACAATGAAACGGGCTGTCGCTGCTTGAGCTGACGTGTACGTAGTAGACATTGCAGTAGTAGAGGAAGCAGAGGAGCCGAGTGATTTCAAGAAACTGCTGGCAGCCATACCGCCCGAATTACAGGAACTGTTGAAACGATACCCCTGGATTTTCCCTGACGACTTACCGGAAGGACTGCCACCTCAGCGAACACATGACCACCGAATCGAATTAGTACCGGGGGCACAGCCAACCGTACAGCGCCAGTTCAGACTGACACAGCTCGAGCTCGACGAACTAAGGAAGCAGTTAGATTACTTGTTAGAGAAAAAATTCATCAGACCGAGCTCGTCACCGTTCGCTGCACCGATACTATTCACACCGAAAAAAGACGGGGGTTTTAGCATATGTATCAACTACAGAACACTGAATAGGGTAGCAGTCAAGTCGCGGTACCCCATTCCCCGCGCCGACGAAATGATCGACCAACTGCGAACAGCACGGGTATTTTCGAAAATAGATTTACGGGGAGGTTACCATCAGATTAGGGTCGAACCATCGGACTGCGCCAAAACAGTTTTCAGGACTAGGTACTGGTCGTTCGAGTACACTATGATGCCATTCGGGCTGACCAACGCACCGGCGACTTTTCAGATGACCATGAACGAGGCATTTAGGCCGCTCTTAGATAAATGTGTAATAGCTTACCTCGCCAACATCCTAGTGTACAGTCGGGATAAGCAGCAGCACTTAGCAGATCTGGAAGCAGTGTTTTTGGTTCTAGACGAGCACAGATTACTGACCAAGGGTTCCAAGTGCGAGTTCTTCCAGGATAGGTTAGAATTTTTGGGGCACGTTATTTCGGAGGCTGGAGTTGAAATTGACCCAAAGAAGCTGGATACGGTAAAAGCGTGGCATCCTCCGACGAACATCACGGAGCTGCAGAGCTTTTTAGGGTTCGTTAATTATGTGCATCGGTTCGTCCCCAATATGGCACGGTTAACCCTAAACCCTAAACCCATACCCCATAAGGGGTATAACCCAATTAGGGTTAGTACTTGTACCCAACTCTTTCATAGTTCATTCATCCATTCTCACTTCTCGTCATGGTATGGAGCAGGTTCCCGAGTGGGAATACTGCCTAGGGCCCACCACGAACTTTTTTTTCCTTCCCTGCCCGGAGCGCGCTTAGCTCCTAACCCGAGTAGCGCCTCGAGCCGCCTTAGTGGCCCCTGTTGGCCGCCCTTGCTGCCCCTCGAGCCGCCCTCTACGGCCTCGCTTAGGCCGCTTACGGCCCCGTCGCGGCCCCGCTACGGCCCCGCTAAGGCCCCGTCGGCCCCGCTACGGCCCCGCTTAGGCCCCGCTTCGGCCCCGTCGACCCCGCTTAGGCCCCGCTACGGCCCCGCTACGGCCCCGCTACGGCCCCATCGGCCCCGCTGCGGCCCCACTTCGGCCCCGTCGGCCCCGCTACGGCACTGCTTAGGCCCCGCTACGGCCCCGTCGGCCCCGCTTAGGCCCCGCTACGGCCCCGCTACGGCCCCGTCGGCCCCGCTACGGCCCCGCTTCGGCCCCGTCGGCCCCACTTAGGCCCCGCTACGGCCCCGCTACGGCCCTGCTACGGCCCCGTAGGCCCCGCTACGGCCCCACTTCGGCCCCGTCGGCCCCGCTACGGCCCCACTTAGGCCCCGCTACGGCCCCGTCCGCCTCGCTTCGGCCCCGCTATGGCCCCGCTTAGGCCCCGCTACGGCCCCGCTACGGCCCCGCTTAGGCCCCGCTTCGGCCCCGTCGGCCCCGCTTAGGCCCCGCTACGGCCCCGTTACGGCCCCGCTACGGCCCCGTCGGCCCCGCTACGGCCCCACTTAGGCCCCGCTTCGGCCCCGTTGGCCCCGCTACGGCCTCGCTTAGGCCCCGCTACGGCCCCGTCGCGGCCCCGCTTAGGCCCCGCATCGACCCCGTCGCCACTGCGGCCCCGCCCACCCTTGCGGCCCGCCGCCACCTTAGGCCCCGCAGCCACCTACGACCTCGCCACGACCTGCGACCCCGCCGCCCAGCGCCCGCAGCGCCGAGCAGCCGAACCGCCGGCAAGCTGAGCCGCCCGACCGCCTGAGCCGCCCAGCAACCGAGCCGCCCAGCAGCCGAGCTCCCCGACAGCCGAGCCACCCAGCACCGTGCAGCCGAGCCGCCCAGCAGCCGAGCCGCCCGACAGCCGAGCCGCCGAGCAGCCCGATCGCCCCACCTACCTGGTAAGAGCACAGTCTCTACCACTGCAGTGCCCTGCCTACTACTGTTATGGCTTCCCCTAGCGTTCTCACCTTTGACGCTGAGGGTCGGGCAGTGGACTTTGAGGTCTGGGTAGATGATCTGCAGCTTTTCCTGCAGTGCGATAGGGCAGACGGCCTCTCCCTGTTTGACCTAACTTCTGGTGCCTCCCCTGCCCCTGCTGGTGATGCTGACGCCACTATTTGCTCACAGTGGGCCACACGTGACGCTGCTGCTCGCCTTGCTGTGCGCCGCCACTTACCGACCACTGAGCGTGCACACTTTAGCCAGTACAAGAGTGCTCAGACCTTGTACGACGCTGTAGTTGCACGCTACTCTTCCCCTGCCACTGCTGCACTGAGCCGCCTCATGCTACCGTACCTCTTCCCTGACCTTGCTGCCTTTCCCACAGTCGCTGCCCTCATTACGCACCTCCGCACTAGTGACACTCGCTACCGCGCTGCGCTTCCTGCTGAGTTCAGCGCCAAGAGGCCCCCTCCCCCCATGTACATCACCCTCTACTACATAGTCACCCGGCTCCCTGACTCTCTTCGGGTAGTCAGGGACCACTTCCTCTCTGTTTGCCCCACCACTCTCACCGTTGACCTCCTCGAGAAGGCCCTCCTAGCGATAGAGAAGAGCATAGTCGCTGTAGGAGCCTCTCGTGGTGACCCTCGCACCCCCGTCTTTGAGGGGTGTTCTCCCTCCCCCCTCTTGCCCTCTGTTGCCTCTTCTGCTGCGGCCGACCTCGTTGGTTTCGAGTCGGTCGGCGCTGCGTCTGCCGCGAGCGGGAGACGCCGCACCGGCAAGGGCAAGGGGGGCAAGGGCACTGGAGGAGCTGGAGGCGGCGGTGGAGGTGGTGGTGGAGGCGGTGGAGGGAGTGGGGGTGGTGGTGGGAGTGGTGCCGGGGGTGGCGGCGGCGACGGCAGCAGTGGAGGCGGCGGAGGCGGTGGAGGTGGCGGGGGGAGCGGAGGCAGCGGAGGTGGTGGAGGAGGCGGAGGTGGAGGAGGCGGCGGAGGCAGCGGAGGCGGTGGCGGCGGAGGCGGCGGTAGTGGAGCGAGTCACGACTCTGCGCAGAGGAGTGGCGCCGGTGGTGGTCAGCGCCAGCAGCAGCAGCGGAGTGGTGTGACCCTTTCCCCTCAGCAGCTTCGTGAGCGATACACTGCACGCCAGCGCGGTGGGGGCTTTGGTCCGTGCTCTTACGTTCTCCGTACCGGCGACCGCACTGGTGAGCAGTACGGAGGCCCGCACTCCACCCAGCGCTGCTTTGGTCGCCTGACAAACGCGTGGCGTCGCCAGTTCCTGTCAGAATATGTTGTTTGTGTAGCCTACAGTGAGGCACTCAATAGTGAGTACAGCCCCTTAGGGTTTGCTATTTGTATCCTGCTCCTTGCTAGTTCAATCATTCCCTTCTCAATTCTATTCCTTCACACAACCTAGTTCGTACTTGGCGCCTCCTTGCTCTAGTCCTACTGTGGCCTAGGCTACTAAGCCTAGGCCGTGCTCCTACTATATCTGACAGTTCCTTGAGGCGTCAGAGATCCCTCGCTAGGGAGATCTGGCTAAGGCCGGGGTTGCTATCTTTGATCTTGACTTTGATGCTATTCTTGCTGCCATGTATGCTGTTGCTGATAGTGTTGAGGGTGCCTGTTACCTGTGTGTACCGCCTGACCCGGGCATTGAGGCTGCTGTGTAGGTGTTGGTGAGGCTGCTGCTCTAGGTGCTAGTGCGTCTGCTGCCCCAGGTGCCAGTGTGTCTGCCGCCCCAGGTGCTGGTGAGTCTACTCTCTCAGGTACTACATCGGCTCAGGCCTTCCACACCTTCACCCTGGACTCGGGTGTGTCCCGCTCCTTCTTTCGAGACCGCACCACTCTTACGCTGCTCAGTCGGCCGGTTGCAGTCTCCCTGGCAGACCCCTCTGGGGGTCCTGTCCTTGCTAGCTTCTCCACTGTCCTTCCGTGCCCTGCAGCCCCCTCTTGCACCCTGTCTGGTCTCTACCTCCCCTTGTTCTCTACGAACTTGGTGAGTGGAGTGGACCTACAGGATCGAGGGGTTGACCAGTTCACTCCTGCGAGTCAGCGAGTGACCCACTGCACGTGTGCTCGGACAGGCCGACACTTGGCCACGTTCACCCGTAGGCCAGGGTCGAGCCTGTACACCCTTACTGCTGAGTCTCCTCCTACTTCAGAGTCTGCCCAGGTAGCTGCGTCGAGTCAGGTGTTTGCTGCGGCGTCCAGGTCTGGTCCTGAGTCTGCCCCCTGCTCGTGTCGTCTGCTGTCCCACAAGACTCTCCTTTAGCACCACCGCCTTGGTCACCCCTCCTTGCCTCGTCTCCGAGGCATGGCCTCCTGTGTCCTTGTCTCTGGTCTTCCTCGGTCTCTCCCTCCCCTTCCTCCGGGGTCTGGCCCTACCTGCGTCCCCTGCGTCGAGGGGCGACAGCGCGCCGCCCCTCACTCCTCCGAGTTTCCTCCAATAGAGGCTCCGCTGCAGACTCTACACATGGACGTGTGGGGCCCAGCCCGTGTCAGTGGGCAGGGAAAAGAGCAGTACTTTCTTCTGGTCATTGACGACTACTCGCGTTACACCACAGTCTTCCCCTTGCGCAGCAAGGGTGACGTCACTGAGGTGTTGATCGACTGGATCCGCGCAGCTCATCTCCAGTTCAGAGAGAGTTTCGGCTCGGACTTTCCTGTTCTGCGTCTGCACTCGGACAGAGGCGGGGAGTTTTCCTCTGCCCGTCTGGGAGCCTTCTGTTGTGCACAGGGCATCCGCCAGACCTTCACGCTTCCGGCCTCTCCACAGCAAAATGGGATTGCTGAGCGCCGCATTAGCATGGTCATGGACGTCGCTCGTACGTCCATGATGCATGCGGCTGCCCCCCAATTTCTGTGGCCGTTTGCGGTTCCGTACGCCGCGCATCAGCTCAACCTTCAGCCCCGGGTCTCCTTGCCAAAGACCTCCCCCGCCTTACGGTGGACAGGGAAGGTTGGCGATGCATTTGCGTTTCGGGTCTGGGGATCTCGTACGTTTGTCCGCGACTTGTCTGCGGACAAGCTGTCCCCCCGTGCTGTTCCTTGCGTCTTCCTTGGCTTCCCCCTTGACGCGCCTGGCTGGCAGATTTACCACCCCACCGCGCGCCGTGTTCTGTCCTCCCACGACGTCACCTTTGACGAGTCGGTGCCTTACTACCGTCTCTTCCCCTACCGCACTACGCCCCTCCCCCCGCCGCCGCTCTTCCTTGCGCCAGGTGCTACCCAGGTAGACCCCCTCCCCCCTCAGGGTCCTGCCCCGTCACGTGTGTCCCAGGTAGATGCAGTCGAGCCTGCCGAGGTAGCTGTTGACTCTGGTGCTGCTAGAGGTGCTGAGCCTGCGGGTGCCGGGTCTGGGGGTGCTAGGTCTGGGGGTGCTGAGTCTGGGGGTGCTGAGGCTGGTGGTGCTGAGCCTGGGGGTGCTGAGTCCGGGGGTGCGGAGCCTGGGGGTGTTGGGTCTGCTCGTGTGGCCACCGGCGGTACTTCGTCGAGGCGGGAGCCGCTCTCTCCACAGGAGTTGCGCGAGTGGTTCGCCCGCCGCTGGAGACGTGCTGCTGAGACTGGGGGAGCTGCTCGAGCTACTGGAGCTGCTGTCGGTGCTGGTGCTGCTGGAGGTGGAGCTGCTGGGGGTGTTGGCGCTAGTGCTTCTGAGGGTACTGGAGTTGGAGCTGTTGGAGCTGGAGGTTCTGTTGGCGCTGGTGCTGCCGCTGGGGGTACTGGTGCCGTCCTTGCTCGTTCTGGAGGCGCTGAGCGGCCAAGGCCGTACTTCGTTCCGCTCCTGGAGCAAGTTCTTGGTCTCCCGCCCTCTCCTGGTCCTGCTCCTCCCTTAGAGTGTCCACAGCCTGTCCAGTCGCAGTCACAGTTACAACCCGCCTTCCCTCTAACTGCTCCTTCTCCCTATACTGGTCCTACGGGAGGTCTTGCTGAGCGTCGTGAGCTCGCGTCTCGTCCTGCGTCGCCTGTTCGTGCTGCTCGCACTAGTCGTCGTGCTCCGCGTCCGCGTCCTCCTGCGGTCCCCGGCACACATCAGATGGCACTGCGTCCTTCCACTGCTCCTCTGCGTGTCCCGTTGCCGTCTCCTCCAGAGTCCTCTCTTCCTTCTCTTGCTGACCCGGAGTCTGACTCCCTTCGGCCATGGACGCAGAGATGGCTTCCTGGAAGTCCACAGGCACCTACGTCGACGAGGTTCCCCCACGTGGGGCGAACATCGTCAGTGCGATGTGGATTTTCAGGGTGAAGCGGCCGCCGGGCTCTCCGCCTGTCTTCAAGGCGCGTTACGTGGCTCGAGGCTTCAGTCAGTGGCAGGGAGTTGACTACTTTCAGACCTTCTCTCCCACCCCGAAGATGACCACTCTTCGGGTGCTACTGCACATAGCTGCTCAGCGCGACTACGAGCTTCACTCTCTTGAGTTCAGCATAACTTTCCTGCAGGGCAGCCTGCACGAGGAGATCTGGCTGTGCCGCCCTCCTGGCTTCACTGGGTCATTTCCTCCTGGTACCCAGTGGAGCCTCCGGCGGCCGGTCTACGGTCTCCGCCAGGCGCCCCGTGAGTGGCACGACACAGTGAGGACTACACTTGCGGCTCTTGGGTTTTCTCCTTCTACAGCCGACCCGTCGCTGTTTCTGCGCACCGACACTTCTAAGTCGCCGCTCTACATCCTCGTGTACGTCGACGACTTGGTATTTGCCACTGCTGACACTGCTGGACTCGCCCATGTGAAGTCCGAGCTGCAGAAGAGACACACGTGCACAGACCTGGGTGAACTGCGCAGCTACCTTGGCTTGCAGATCACCCGGGATAGAGCACAGCGCACCATTACCCTGACTCAGTCACACATGGTGCAGCAGGTCCTTCAGCGCTTCGGCTTCACGTACTCCTCGCCTCAGGCCACTCCTCTGCCTACTCGCCACTCGCTCTCAGCTCTGCCTTCAGATGAGTCCGTAGATCCGAGTGGCCCGTACCCAGAGCTTGTTGGTTGCCTCATGTACCTGATGACCTGCACACGACCTGACCTTGCATACCCTCTTAGCATCTTGGCACGCTATGTTGCTCCTGGGAGACACCGACCAGAGCACATGGCTGTAGCGAAGAGGGTGTTGCGCTACGTGTGCAGTACGTCGGGCATGGGGCTAGTGCTTGGAGGGCGACGTCGAGTAGTCCTCACAGGTCACGCTGACGCTTCTTGGGCTGACGACCAGGCTCTGCAGCGGTCATCACAAGGTTACACCTTCAGCCTTGGCTCCGGCTCTGTTTCGTGGCGGTCTACCCGCTCGTCTTCTGTTCTCAGCTCCAGCTGTGAGGCTGAGATCTACGCAGGGGCCATGGCTGCACAGGAGCTACGCTGGCTCACCTACCTGCTGACTGACCTAGGAAAGCTGCCTCGTTCTCCTCCAGTTCTGTACGTAGACAACAAGGCCATGCTGGCCTTGTGTCGGGAGCACAGACTGGAGCACAGAACGAAGCACATTGCTCCCCGCTACTTTCTGGCTCGTGAGCTGCAGCAGCGTGGTCAGCTCCGCCTAACCTACGTGGCTTCTGAGGCCAACACTGCTGATATCTTCACCAAGGCCCTTCCGCCTTGTGATCATCAGCGCTTCTGTACTTTGCTAGGTCTTGTGCCTACCTAGCCTCACTTGCTCACTTCTTGATCTTTTTTGTACTATACTCTTTCTATACCTGCACTTGCTTGTTTACCTTTATATATATGATCTTGCATGTGAACTGGCCTTGTGGCCTTACTCTTGTGCTCGGACTGTGTGGTGACCTTCTGATCTACCGTGAGCTTGCTTTGCTTTGCTTTGCTTGACTGGTCTTGTGACCACTTGTTCTCCCCCACTTTGCCTATGGGGGTGTGTCAGAACATTATAGCTTATATATTTGTGTAGGCTGTAGTGGGGTAGCCCATAAGGGGTACAACCCAATTAGGGTTAGTACTTGTACCCAACTATTTCATAGTTCATTCATTCCATTCTCACTTCTCGTCAAAGCCCGCTACTGACAGGCCTATTCACCCACGGGTACCAAATGGATCCATTCTGCACAGGAGGAAATTCGCAGCAGTTTGCAGCAGCAAGAGGAGTTTATTTCCTAAAAACCGGG